TGTATTTGTAGTTTTCAATATAAAACTTGTTGAAATGGTTTCAGTGTGTGTTATCAGTACATTTTAATATTTTTTGGCACATTTTTACAATACTGTGATAATACTGATAACCATAATCATTTTGGTCCCAATAATCGTGATATGAAAATTTTCATACCGTTTTCATCCCTAACTGCCAAAGCTCACAATATACATTCTCACGCTGTACGGTCCCATGGTCAAGCCACAACCTCAGTGCTCACACTGTACGTGCATATAACGGCCAGCCCCTGCCAACCGTTCTGGCTATTGACAATTGTCAGACACAAAGATTTGTGGCAGGCAGAAGTGGGTGTATATGGACTAGGTGGTTAGGAAGATTTGGACAGAATGGCTTTTCCATTTGCAGAGAGAATCTGAAGTGAGCTTTCTATGTTTTACTGTATAGATTGTTAACTTGATAGCTAGCGCTAATGGTGGGGAATCGACTATTGGCTTTTCTTCAACGAACTCTGACGTGTCAGAAATTCATGCAACTGTCCAACGGCTTTTCAGGAGAAGTTCATCAGTCCTTGCTTCCTACTGTACACATGGCAAACAAAGCCCGACAAAGCTGAAATTTGGCCCGACACTCAAATGAGGCGTGTGGCTCAAAAATCAGGTCAGACATGAGCTCAAACCGTACAGTGTATGCCCAGCTTTAGGATTTCACTGAAATGTCAATTTGCAGGTGCTTCAATAGTGCAGCATGAGTTATTTTACTGGAAGACAGTTAGAGCAGAGCCCATTTAAAATTATATAATAAAATGCTGTTTGGTATCAGATGTCAGGCAAAAAAATAAATGAACTTAATGATTTTTTACCTATAGCGATATGTAATGACATATTGGACTGAACAATATTTGAATGAAGTTTGGTGTGACGTCTCTCTCATACACTAGTTGCAGATCAATCTTAACAAACTCACTTGGAGTCATCCGTCCAGTCAATGCAGGTGGTTTCATCGTAGGGGCCGTAGTAGCTCTTGTCCAACACGAAGGCATTAAACTCCCGCTGCTTTCCAGGAGCGTGGTACATCAGAGCTACATTCTCCTTTGTAACAACAAACTTCCTGAGGGGGAATAAATACATTAAATATCGGCCGCATTTTGGTTCCACTATACAACTCTTTGATAACATCACAATTAATTAAGGACAAGCAATAAAGAACATGGCTTAAACTAACAACTGTATACAATCTGTCTCGTCTGCTGTATACAATCTCATGGCTTGTATATACACACAGATATATGAAATAGATACATAAGTTGGCAGATAAGATAGTAGCAAAGGAGCACTTCACATTAAATTCACTAAATGGACTTCAAAGGTCACAACCCTAACCAGGATTTTAAAAAATGTAACAGAGTTCTGGGTAATTGACTGCATAATGTGGTCTTTATTATGCTCACCTATTCTGGCACTGATCACATACCTGATACCAACATGAACTGATAATGGTGTCCATTGCCCATACACTCCTGTTTTTACACAAGTTAAACACATTTCATGTTGTGTAGAGGTGAAATTGTTTTTTTTCATAACTAATTATTTGTGGTTTTTTAATAGTTTACCATTTTTTTTGGCAGCGTTTGAACTGAGTCTTTGATTTGAAGCAGTGTTTACCAACTACAGGAACTGCTGCAAATTTCAATGAGACACTATCTGACTTGAAGACAATCACAATGAAACCTCACCAACTGGCATTTCTTTTACAATAAGAGGTTCATCAGACATCCTTACCTGCCATCAGGTGAGAAGCGGATGCTGCTGACAGGCTTGTGAAAGTGGAAATGATGAAGAACGGCTCGGGTGATGAGACTGACCAACAACGCGGCACCATCTGAGTGACAAAAACACACAGATGCATTTGTGTATTTTTTCCCCCTAATAGCATGTTAACTACTGCTAAAGATAGAGAATGCAAGCTTTATTCAGATCAGTGGAATCTCCTACCTTCATCCACTACGACTGCTAAGTTCCCATCGGAAGAGAGACCCACACATGTTATGTTTTTTGTAGTGGAGACTGGTAACGTCTCAGATGTGTTGCTAAAGGACAGAGAAGGGGGGGAACAATCAGTCTTGCTTGGGCTTTCACGGTTAATGAGGTCAACTTTAATTTACCAAGATGTTACAACACTTATTTTTATGCGTCATGCTATTAAATTTCTTTACAGCTGCTTTTGTTCCAAGTAGTAATAATAGTAGCACATTCAAACCTATAATGTACTGTATTTCAGAAACACTTAAATTCTGCATAAAAATTAATTTCTTTCTTGCAAACTGACAGATGGGGCAAAGCTGCCCAGATAGCAAAAGTCATGCAGCCCAGATCTGGACCACCAGATCCTTCATAAGTTCTGGGCCAGATCTGTAAAACGGACCTGGGCGGGTGTCTTTTAGCACAACGGGCCAATACCGGTGCGGATCCGGTTTTCATATCTGGACCGGCACTGGCCCAGCTCCAGAACACATGAGAATTATTAGTCATTTGGTCCAAAGGCAGTTCCATTTTGGATCCCAGAGTCTCCATAAGATACTGTTGAGGATCCGGTTTTCACATCTGGACTGGCAATGGGCCAGCTCAATTTATTAATTCTGGCCTGGATTCACACCAACCTTAATCTATACCCACAAAACAAACCATATACAAAAATATGGAGTTTTTCAGAGAGTTAAAGGGATAGTTAAAATTTTGGCAATCAGATGTTGTGCATGATTCAGCTTGTGCTATGGGTCCTAGTATTAGATATGTCAGTTAAGGTATACCATTTCCGTCTGAGAAGCCAAAGGGTCTAATGCCCATGAACTGTTACAATTTTAGGATGGAAGTCTGCAACTAACAGTTACTTTCATTCTCAATTAATCTGTTGATTTCTGTTTCTATTAACTGACTGGTCTATATAATGTATAACAAATAGTGACTTGTAAATCACAATGGACTCTAACTTCATATATATATATATATAACAGCTTTAACAATCCCCCATATTTTTATGTATTTAATTTAAGTATTTAAATGTATCAATGACTTACTTTTTCAGGTCGAAGACAGAGACTCTGTTTCCAACCGGACTGATCACGGCGTTGCCATCTTTAGAGAAATTCAAATTTCCCTGACGATAGACTGCTCCGAGCAGATTGGAAAACTACAATGAAAAAAACAGTGGCTTTCACCCACAAGCTCCTGTTTGGTTCTGGGGAGGGAAGTTAATCTCCCAAACTCCATTAAAAAATGTGGGAATTCAACGATCTCTTGCGTACAAGCAGGTGTAGATTAAAATGACTTCAACCAGTTCACAAAACAGTTACATGTTCTTGTAAGGACAGGGCTTAATTGAAATAACAGTTATCAATTCACAGGTCCTTCAATAATGTTAACATAACGTTACATTATTTTAGTGGAAGACGGTTAGAGCAGAGCCAATTTAAAAAACGATGAAATTATATAATAAATTTCTGTTTAGTAATGTATCATATACGTCAGCCGAACCTAAGTGTGGAAATTAACACCTTACAATAAAAACTGTAAAATGCGCTCCTCGATTTTTAGCTTTACCGAAATGTAATGACATATTAGATTAAACTATAGTTGAATGGAGTTCGGTGTGACGTTCTCTCCCATAACGTTACACTAACGTTAGTTGCCAAACAGCGCGACAGTAACAAGTTAACGTTAGCTAGCAGTGTCGTACTCACCCTATAAGCAAACTTCATTTTACTGCATATCCTTTAATCTTCATACATTCATCTACTTTTTTAATTCTTTATATATCCCCGTGGAGGTCTGAATATAGGTCTAACTTTATGCTTCTTCCTCCACTGCTACCCCACACGTGTTCCCATTTTGTTGACACTTGACACATCCGGCTTGATACTTGAAACACTGCGCCCTCTAGCGGCAGGGAGGGGAAACGACTAACAGTAAATGCATGGCACATCAATCTTTATTCAAGACAAAATCCAGTCCAAAGGATTGAAGAAACAAAAAAGCAAATGTGAGAAAGTGATTGGGAAAACTACAAAGTCCAAGAGAAGATATTATATTCCTAGTGTTATGGTGAGTTCAAATGAAAAGTATCAAATACAAACACACATTTGCTATACTATCTTAGTATTGCAGGACTAGCTCTACCATCATTTTCACCAAATTAAATTCACGTGTAGCCTAAAAAAATATAACAGAGAATGTTCACACTTTGCAATTACATGAGGTAGGTATATTTGGTATAATTTGGGTTAAAACTGGTCAAAGTCTTGCAGCATAAGAACGTGTACTGACTGTCATGTCAGCCAAGTATTAACCTTAAATAATTAGTCATTTTAAAAACAATTACAGTACCATAACAATTCCAAATACATTTTTGTTTTAAAGTGAGACTATGTAAGTTTTACAAATAGAAATAACACAATCTTTCCTTTACAAAAGATAGACAATAAGACAAATAGTTTAATAGTTTATTAAATCCGTATATTTATGGTGGTCACTGCGACAGCCTGACTTGGTCTGGTATGACCAGTAGCTTATGGTAGCTAATGCTAAGTAATGTTAGCAATCATTATCTAGATGCTATCTAAGGTAAATATTATGGTGTCTGTAAAGCAAGAGAGAGACTCATGGGAAATTAAGGCAAATTCATTGTGCTATTATCCTAGTTACTACAAGACTCACAAGCTGCTATCAAAGTGAAGGATAGTTTAAAGAGGCCTTTACTCATCCTCTACAACTTCACATAAACTGTATAACACACACTACAAACAGTAAAAACAAAAAGGGCTTCTCAAAATAAATGACACACTTGGAACAGAACAAAACCAGACCTTCGGTGGCCTTCACACAATCCCTCCGGTCCATTTTCATCCAATACTCCTGCTGAATAATTTAGCATCTGGCAGCCACAGTTCACATACAGCACACATGTAGAAATGAGGTGGTACTAAAGGTAAACTGAAAACTATACCATACATGACACCGCAAAGTAAGAGATAACACAAAGTTTATTTGTATCTTTTAGAATAACAGTTAGCTGTTGCTGAGGTAACGGCACAAGGCGTTGTACATAGTCATGCCCATGTCCTGTTTTCAGGACTTGGACTACAGGAATAAATATCTCAAAAACAGCTTTGTAAACAGTTACACATGTAGTATCTTGCACCAACAGAAAAACAACTGATAAACAAAGTTTCTCACAGTGTAAGCACTTCTCTTTTTCACCTCATCGTTTTGTGCCAGAGGTCGAAACAGGGCACCACGTGCAGCCGAACATATTTCAGGCCTGCAGATGAGCACTCCAGACAGCCGTAAACAGTTTCCCGCTTCTGGTTACCCATGCCGCAGAGGGCACAGGGCCCCTTGGGGATGTTGTGTTTGAGGAGGTTGACCCGTGTGTGGGTGCTGTCTCTCAGGTAAGCAGTGGACACGTCCGTCATGCTGGCGGCTTTCTCATAGTAGTCGGTAACCATGTCGTCCATGTAGGTGTCAGAGTGGGTGAGCTCCTCAAACGTTCTGTTATCTACACAGTAGTTGGATAAAGCAAAATGGAAAAAGAGCAATAAAAGTAATGGTGTATTTATTATGTAGCAGTGGTCATTACTGTACCTGCTCTGAAGGGGTTTCCATAGACAATGCCAGACAGGAACCGGCGCAATCGACCCATGGAGAAGTGACCGATGAAACCACCAAGCTGTTCCCTGATCTGCTCCCGCTCAAATCCCCCTTGCGACTCTGGGGCTACACAGATATCTGACACACAGGAAGCAAACATCAGTTCAGAAAACAACTTTTGTGTAAACTCTATAATTTGTCATTTTTTGTCTGTACAACAGTCTAAACCAAAAGACATTTAAAGAGGTGGTATTTTGCTTTTTGGCTTTTCCCCTCTCCTTTATTGAGTTATATCTTTTTTTTGTGCATGTAATAGGTTTGCAAAGTAAAAAAGCCCAAAGTCCAGCCCAAAGAGAGTTCCCATCTCCCACAGAAAGCACTGCTCTGAACTGCTTGAAAACAGCTTGTTTGTAGTCCAGCCGTTTCCCTTCCTTTACTTGTGACGTCACAATGAAAACGCGTCATAAAGCTTGCCAAGCGGCTAGCGGGGTCAGGCACGCCCTCAAACCAAGCTAGTCTGAGTGGAGGCCCTTTCATTTTAGTTAAGCCCCTTTTCCACTGCACTTGACTTGGCTCGACTCGCCTTTGTTTGGTTTTCCATTGTAGAAACGCTGATTGGTCAGAGAGAATATTCACTATTCACTGCATCATCATTGCGTGCACCAGACAGAGTCCAGCAACAGAAAGTTTCATATTTTACAGTTTTCATATGTAATTTAATCACTAAATCCACTTCTGAGATGTTTTGAGGTGAGAAATCAGCTGTGTAGATTTTGAATATTGACAGTTTTAGGGGTATGCCTGTGCGAACCAGCGGGAGGGGCTGGCGAGGCCGCCCGCTCACAGAGCCCTCTGCTCCCACCGTCACACTAACCGCTGCAGCCAGGCACAACAACGGCAGAGGAAAACACAGCTGGAAGGTTTTCATACCACTTATCTGTCTTTACATTCTGAGGAATGTTGAAACATTTTAACAAAAGAGAAAGCTGTGTGGATCGCTGGTGTTGTGTGTGGCGTCGTTATGACGACAAGCTACGTACTATCTCTGGGTACTATCTGCAATGGAAAACGGAGCAGGGCCAAGTAGAGTCGAGTCTATGGATTTGCGCTATGGTAGTATTTTTCGGCAAGGCAGCATAGATCATCAGAACACCGGCAACAGTTCAACGTTTAGTCCTAAGACGATGCAACTCTGACTCTGTTTGGGCCTGGAAATTCACAATCACAATCTGTAAGTATGCTTTATTGGTTGTGAATTATATTTAAAATAAACACGGCAATGTAACTTCACAGACTGTTCAAGTGCAGAGTTGTTGTAAACGTTGGCTAACACAGCTAAAGTTATAACTATAATGCTAATGTTACACCCGATGTGAAAGTTACTGAGCAAACATTGGCAGGTTGGTACCGATGATCTTTTCTGCAGTCCTACTGTCCGTTGTAGTCTGTCCTTGTCCTTTTTTTTGTTAGATCCAAACCAGACAGTGATGGACGTGCTGAGGATGGACTGGATGATGGTTGTGTAGAAGTGGATCAGCAGCTCCTTAGGCAGGTTGAGCTTCCTGAGCTGGCGCAGGAAGTACATCCTCTGCTGGGCCTTCTTGATGATGGTGTCAGTGTTGTGCTTCCACTTTAGGTCCTGGGATATAGTGGATCCCAGAAACCTGAAGGATTCCACAGCAGACACAGGGCTGTTTAGAATGGTGATGGGGGGCAGAGTGGGGGGGCTCCTCCTGAAGTCCACGGTTATCTCCACAATGTTGAGAGTATGAAGCTCCAGGTGGTTCTGGCCACACCAGAGAGCCAGCTGATCAATCTCCCGTCTGTAGGCCGACTCATCACCGTCCCGGATGAGGCCAATACGGTTGTGTCGTCAGCGAACTTCACGAGTTTGACGGATCTGTCTGCTGAGGTGCAGTCGTTGGTGTAGAGGAAGAATAGCAGGGGGGAGAGCACACATCCCTGGGGGGCGCCAGCGCTAATAGTCCGGGTGCTGGATGGGATGCTCCCTCACCTGCTGACCCCTGTCAGTCATGAAGTTGAGGCTGGCACAGTGAGCTGGGTGAGTTTGGTGCTGAGGATGTCCGGAATGATGGTGTTGAACGCCGAGCTGAAGTCCACGAACAGGATCCTTGCATATGTCCCTGGAGAGTCGAGGTGTTGCAGGATGTAATGCAGTCCCAAGTTGACTGTATCATCTACTGACCTGTTAGCCCTGTAGGCAAACTGCAGGGGATCCAACAAGGGGGCTGTAATGTCCTTCAGGTGGGCTAACACCAGTCTTTCAAAGGACTTCATGATTACAGATGTCAGGGCGACAGGCTCTCCAGAGATGGAGAGTTTTTTGGGGACCGGGATAATTGTGGAGAGTCTGAAGCAGGAGGGAACTTCAATCAGCTCCACTGATCTGTTGAAGATCTGTGTGAAGATGGGGGCCAGCTGGTAAGCGCAGATTTTCAACCAGGATGGAGACACACTGTCGGGGCCAAGAGCCTTCCTGATCTTCTGCCTCTGGAAGAGCTGGTGCACATCCCCCTCACAGATCGTGATGCAGCAGGTGAGGGGTTGGAGAGGGGGGGTGAGAGCGTGGCAGTCGGGGAGGGTGACTGTTTGAAGATGGTATTGGAGCAGGGGAGAGGTGTGACTGTTTGGCTTCTCAAATCTACAATAGAAAGCATTCAGCTCGTCAGCCAGTCGTTGAGTACCAGCAGAGTTGGGGGATGGTCTCCTGTAGTTAGTGAGTGTCCGCAGGACTTTCCTCACTGAGAATGAAGCTGTTTCCTAGCTTTTCAGCGAAGCATCTCTTTGCTACTTTGACCTCTTTAGTCAGAGTGTTCCTGACCTGGTTATACAGGACTCTGTTCCCACTTCTGAAGGCCTCCTATTTGGTCTGACAAAGCTGCCTGAGTTTTGCTGTGAACCAGGGTTTTTGGTTGTTGTATGTGCAGAAGGTTTTAGCACGACACACGAACCATATGAGCTGCCTGCTTTTGTGAATCTCCAGAGGTCATACGAAATGGACCAGTTTTGCCTTGTCCATTAGGCCACGTGGTCACACCTTTGCTGCTCACATCTTGCTACAGTGGCTGATTTATTGTCTTGATACAGTAATGTGGAAATCCAACTCAAGATCTTAGCGACGTTAGCACCATGCTAAGAAATGGGATTCAGGAACATCAACGGCTTAGCACAAACAAACGGAGACTGATTGGGAAGCAGATTCAGGTGTTAGCACCTCTGAGCTTGGTGTGGGGGAAATAGTTTACATTTTAGTGCACTCGCTGGTGGGCAGCAGCAGGACACTGCAGAGACCTTGATTTGTTAAATTCTAATCACTGGCGAGTATTGGGGTTGAACCCATGACCTTGGCGTTATTAGCTCCGCTTGCATTTGTGTATCTTGAACAAATTGTCCTCCAGAACTCACACAAAATGGACCAGTTTTGGATGTTCAGTCGCATGTGAACTGCTCCCAACTTGGCGGAAGTGGAGTGGATGTTGTTTAAAGTGGAATGCACTCACTGTGTATATGGACAGCTACCATGGCTTGGAACCCATGATCTTGGCATTATTAACATCACACGCAAACCACCTGAGCTAACCGGCCTGCTTTGGATGAGTTGTTTTTAGAAAATTGAATGCAGAATACAATAGGGACCAAATAAAAAAGGTCCACAGATTCTTATTGTATTAAGGTGAGCAGGTTTCGGCAAATGGGGACGTCTGCTCACCCTATATTGGATGTTTAGTCAGACCACCTTCCAATCCAAGTTGGCGCTTCAAGATTATTTATATACAGACAAATGGCATAGATCTGTGTTTGTTTGGAAAGGCTGGGAAATTATCTTTAGCCTTCCTACCTAGGCGCCCGTCCAGTCGAACAAACAGCTCGCAGATGCTGAAGGCAATGGTGGTGTGAGCAGGGATGATGATGGCCTTGTCTCGACCTTTGGGATTTCTGCCGTCGTCAATCTGAAACTGCAGCATAACAGAAAATTAAGTGATACACCTGCTCATCAGCCATTTGTTTACAAGATAACAGAACAGACAAGTTGGAACAGGTTAGAAAAATAGGGGGTCCAGCTAGAAAAAAAGTTTGCATTATGAGACATATTTTGGCGAGGCACTCCATATGAAAATGTAGATGTGATATATATTTCGAGGAGGGGATGTAAGATATTTAACTATTTTGATTTTAAAGCAAGACTATGCTAATATCTTTTGTTATTTTTAATAGTCTTATGTGTAAAAAATGAGTATTACAATTGATATAAAAATGTTTGAGTTTGAAGAAACTCTAAGGAACCTTTTGTGTAAGCTACTGAATTTTGTGACATTTTAAAATAATGGATGAATATTAGTATTACGTATTTGACATTGGTACCTGACTTTAAACCGGTAAATTGGGAACAGTTTGTGGTCAGTTGGTGTCTCCAGTTTGATTTTTACTGAAGTTGTATTCAGTTGCTTGGGGTTTCCATGTCTTACAAAGTGATCCAAATGAACATTGTGTTTGGGTGTTTTTACCCTCATGGTAGTCCCTCTCATTCCAGCGTGGACAGTCAGAGAACATTGACGTGTGGTGCGGATGCTCTCTACCACGACACAGAGAACGGTCCGTCCGCTCTCCTTGGACTGTCGAACCAGGCAGTGATCCAAGTCAACTTTCCTAAAAGACCGGAAAAGGAAGCTTGTTAGCTTTCTTGACTAGATGAGAAGATAAATACCACTGTCAGGTCTGTATGGTAATTATGAGGCTAAAGCCAGCAGATGGTTATCTTAGCCTAGCATAAAGACTAGAAACAGCTAGCCTAGTTCTGTCTGAAGGTAACATAATCCATGTATTAATTTTAGTGAGCTTTAGAGGTGCCGGTAGGCAGACATTCTTAGCAACAAAGACTGCCAGACTTGCTGTTTCTCTGCTAACTAGCTAAGCTAACTGGTTTCTGGCTGAAGCTTCATATTTAATGTACAAACATAAAAGTGGTATCAATCTTGTCACCTAACTCTACAAGAAAGCCTTCTAGTTGTAGACTTTATGGACTGTCTACTGTTTAATGGCACAATGTTAAACAAGTCTATTTACTTTCTTACAATGTAGCTCCTGAATGTGTGCCAGTCTAGAATAACATGATCATTTATTAATTCTTACAGGGAAACCCTCTTCTCACATTACCTCTGTTACAAGGTCAGAGGTCAGGTATCATCTTATAGCTGGTGTTAGGAAGATCTAGATATCAAAAATTTTATATTTGCGTCACAGTTGACTCTTAAGACACTTCTAGCTACATATCTCTTTTCCAAAAAATTAATAATTAATCAAAACTAGATAATATAACTTAGTTATTAATTAATTACAGAGATGGCACATTTAATGATTCTAAAGTGATACTATGATGATGATATGCTTTGACCCCCTGCAGATGAAGACAATAGCACACACTGAGCAGCTGTTCAAAGCATACTCGCACACAGTATTAATATGTTGTGGTACCTAGAGTTGAGTTCACGCAGTAAAGTAGGCACTTCCAGCTCGTGTTTGGTCACAATGCCGAAGGAGGCTTTGACAGCCACAGAGTCTGATCCGCTGATGTTGAACCCCACATCGTTGATGAGGTGGTTTCCTAATCGACCGTTGAGGGCTACATCTGACTTGTCCTCATAGTTGAGCAGCTGATAAGAAGACACTCCTGTTTCAGAAATAAGAGAAGTTGTGATTACACTATGCAAAGAAATATTTAGTGGTGGCATCAAATACAACATTTACTCCAGTACTGTACTTACTGTCAATGAGGTAATGAGCCTTTTACACACTTACACTTTTTCTGCTTCATTCTACTTCTACCCCTTTACAATTTATAGGAAAATAGTGCACTTCTTACTCGACAGCTGAAGTTACTTACAAATTAATATTTTAAATACAAAATGTGATGAACATAGACATAGTTTATTTTACAATAAGCTTCAACTACTACACTTCTTACACATTATTGCATCAGTAGTAATGATCCAATAATATGTAATCTAATTCGCTAAATACTTCATGCACTGCTGGAAATTTACACATTTTTCTCTCACAATTAAAGAATGTTAAACTAATCTTGATATGTGAATAAACCCAATGGTTGTAAAAATGTTAAACATTTCATTGTGCATATAGGCTATATTAAATAATACAATAGTTTGTTAACTTTCTTGACATAAATTAGATGAGAAGAATAATACCACTGTCAGTTCTGTATAGTTGGTAAATATGAAACTACAGCCAGCTGTTGCTAAGCTTAGCCTAGCATTAGACAGGAAACGTGAGAAGGTATCAAAATCCACTCACCAGCACCTCTAAAACTCAAGTACGTTCTTATTTATCTTATTTTTTAATCTGTAAAAAATCTGTAGTTTAAGCTAAGCTATGCTAAATAGCTAAGCTAACTGGCTGCTAGCTCAAGCTTCATATTTAGTTAGTTTAGTAGCGTAGTATCAATCATCACCTAACTCCTGGCAAGCTAACAAGCTGACACGTTAGTTGTGGACTTTCTTAAACATATTTATATATATATATATATATTTGACCCCTAGTTAAAGGCAGGGTAGGCAAGTTGCTTCTAAAACACTTTTTGTCATATTTGTTGAAACTGTCTTTATACACCAATGCATATTAAAAAGTTAGGTGCTCTGAAAAAGAGAGTATAAAAATCAGCTGTCTGTAGTCCTCTTTTACCAGAGAAGAGCTCTTAAACATTGGACTTTCAACTGCTCATACTATTCCGCCACTTTTTATTGACCCTGGAACTTTCCCAGAGTTATTAGTTGGAGGAGTGGCAGCTCTGTTTGGGATCCTTCAGAAACGGCACAGGGGAAAACGTGCAGGCGCGCTGGTTAAACTGAGACAGCGGTGATTTCGCACTGCGCTCCCTTCAATCCACCTGGATTGTAGTAAATAAAGGCCAGCTTTGCGCGCTCCCGCGACCCCCCTTCCCCCCCAGGTATGTTAGAGGTGGAGGTATGTTGTTGATTATGCGTGACTTGTATTGTTTTCTGGGGTTTATCTTTTCACATCGCCCGCCATTGGGGCCACAGCGGTGCAATCACATGTCTAGTTCTACAAAACACCTTAAGCATTACTAGTTGCTCAAAAGTGTCAGAGAGTTTCATGCGCCCAGCGCAGTGTTCCGGAGTTTTTAATTTAACAACGCCCGCCATAGGGGCTACAGTTCTGCAACAACAAATCTGAGCCGACATAACACCACTATAACAACAGATTTATGTGAGTTTCCAGAGAGTTCATCCGCAGGACATATTAGATAACAATGTAGCAGTTGCGCTTTAACAGAATAGTTCAAAATCAACCGTAAGAGTTGTATGCAGTACCTTGTCACTGTTTTTGTCCGGTCACCAGCCCCATCAAACTCAACCGTCCTTTCACTCACGGTTTCAATAGTAAACTGCTATAGGATTGACAGATACCGATTAAAAAATATTATATTCTAACCAGAAACATTTAAGAAAACGTAAATTACAAAGTATATTTTGTATTTCATACAAATAGAAGGTTTTTTAAGTAATTTTTATCAAAACTCCACCGCAAAGCATCACGGGATGTCTGAGGGACGGCCTTTATCGCTGATAGTCTAAGGTCCTCAAATTCCGCTGGAAGCCATGAGAAACTTACTCACTCTTGTGTTTTGCTGGCAACTTCTTGATTATTAGTTAGTAAACAAAATACTTCAGATGTGATACGTAAAAAAAATGTTTCAAATGCATGCGTGGTTATTTTTCGTTCACATTCCTCCCGAGTAGTCACGTCACTGATCGAAGGGGGACACTCACACACACACACACACACACACACACACACAAGATGGGATGATCCCGGTACTAATTTGGATTCGCCCGTTTGAAAAGAGAGTAATCCAATGATTATGCATGAGGAGACCAAAACATAAGGCTCTCGAGGAGAAGTGACGTCAATCGATGTGCATGTTATTACGGGGTTGATCCGCTTTATATATCTTTGATGGGTGCAAGAATAGGATACGTCCCCCACATCATATAGACATGTTTTCTAGCGATCCATCATTAATGTGTTGTGTATGATTTCTGCGAAGTTTCTCATGGAGGGAGAGAGTAATGCGCCCATCATCCTGTTGAAAGCAGTCCTGTCGGCCTGTTTTTACAAACCAAAGATTCAGTTAAGCAATACATCACATCAGCAACATCAACATGTTGTTTTCTGGTTAGCATTAAAACACACAAATCAATGCTAAAAGTACAAAAACAAAACACATGACCCGTATGAAAATCATTATCGTTCACAGGAAAAACATTTGCTATATCGAGTAGAGTAGATTTCACATCTGCATATTTATCCGCTGTCATTTGCACCATGGTACACCATCCAGAGGTCATTCGTCTAAAACATTCTGTCTGTTTGTCAAATCTAGAACAACATAGCGTACTATCTGTGTCACATATTGCATTGTTAACAGCTTCACACAACAGTTTTCTCATCTTATACACGATGTATCTCTTTTTGACATGGTTTAGTAGACTAGACACATTCCCCATTGTTTTTAGTTTTGTTCCCCCTTCCAGATGTCCAGAGATTCCTTGACTACTGTGCTCACACTGTCCTCCACTCTAACTACCCGTTTAAGCGAAGCAATGAGAAAAGGGTTCCTCAGCCATATCTGTAGAGCAGCAGATACTGCATTTACACGTTCGCACCAACCCAAGACCGTGTAGTACATACTTTTGAGCATCAGCGAAATTTTTGTTAAAAAGCTTTTGCGTAATTTCTCTCTTATGTCCTTTAATATAAAAGAAGGGCAGCGTGTCAGTGCATGTGTGAGGTTGTTTTCTGCACCATTCGTCTGTATATGCACAATACACACGTTTGTATAGCTTTTTGTTGCAGTATATCATATAAATAATAAGCTACGGTTACCTGTATAATACCGCTAGCAGTAGTGTTAGGAGATGTGTCTTTGTCGCAACAGTCCAGAGTGTCCAAACATGCACCCTTAAACGGCTCGGCCCTGCTCTTGTCCTCTTCTGCTTTTTCTTCAGGAACGAGAAATGTTAAATTTCCCCAGTTCTTTGCCATAGTCATCCACCCATGAGTTATTATCGTCCCATAGTACTGGAAAATATTTAGGGCTGCTCAATAGACCCTCACCCGATGCACATGTCCTCGTACCTGCACAAAACATTTTAATTTGAGCAATGTCACCGACAGCCCCGTCGTGGAGGTCTAACACTAACACTAACACACTGGACCACTGCTACACAACATTAAAGGATGCCTATCACACTGTTCCTCGTGCAGCCTTGGGACTCTCTGATCACTGTCTGGTTCATCTTATCCCGACACACAGGCAAAAACTGAAATCTGCTAAACCTGTTAAGACTAAGACTAACCTAAGACTGTGAAAAGATGGACCAACGAGTCAAAGCTGGAATTACAGGCCTGCATTGACTGCACTGACTGGAGTGTTTTTGAGGCTGCAGTCACTGACCTGGATGAACTAACTGACACTGTGACATCTTACATCAGTTTTTGTGAGGACATGTGTGTGCCGACTAAAACCTTCCGCACATACATAATAATAATAATAATAATAATCTTTATTTGTAGAGCACTTTTCAAAAAACAAGTTACAAAGTGCTTTAACAAGCGTAAAGACAATAATACCCAAGAGACAATAATACAAAAAACAATACAAGATAAAAGCATGAAAACATTGAAAAGACTAAAATACAGATAAATATAAAATTAGTAAAATACAATAAAATAAAAGGGATAAAATAAAGTCAAATAAGATCCTCTATAAAAGCTCTCCTATAAAAGTATGTTTTAAGAAGGGACTTAAAAGAGTTCACTGACTCAGCTGACCTGATTTCCTCGGGCAGGCTGTTCCAGAGCCTCGGGGCCCTGACAGCAAACGCTCTGTCCCCTTTAGTTTTCAGTCGAGACTCTGGAACAGACAACAGACCTCTGCCTGAGGATCTCAAGTTACGTGCTGGTGTGTATGGGACTAAAAGTTCAGAAATATAACAAGGCGAGAGGCCATGAAGAGCTTTAAAAGTGATCAATAGAATTTTAAAGTCAATTCTAAAACATACTGGGAGCCAGTGTAATGAAGCTAAAATAGGAGTAATGTGGTAATATTTCTTTGTTCTGGTTAAAAGCCTGGCAGCTGAGTTCTGGACAGTCTGGAGTCGATCAATAGATTTTTGGGTTAAACAGGTGAAAAGGCTGTTGCAATAATCCAGGCGTGATGAGATGAAGGCGTGTAAAATGGTCTCGGTGTCCTTAAAAGTTAACATAGATCGAATTTTTGCTATATTTCTAAGTTGATAAAAACATGATTGAACAAGCTTTGTGGTGTGCTGCTCGAAATTTAAATTACTATCAAACCAAACACCAAGGTTCTTTGCCACAGGCTTAATGTGATTTACTAGGGAACCAGCAGATGGCAGTACTTGATTTGCCATCTGCTGGGACCTGATGACCAGGATTTCTGTTTTGTCTGAGTTCAGCTGGAGGAAATTATTTGACGTCCATTTTTTAACTTCACAAAGGCAGTTGTTAAGTGAACTCAGCATTCCAGGGTCTGTGGATCTGACGGGCAAGTATATTTGTGTGTCATCAGCATAAATATGAAAAGAAATGCCATGTTTATGGATAATA